CCCCCGCCACTACAGGTTGTGCCCTCCCCGCCGCTCCCCAGCTTTGGGAGAGGGCTCTGGGCAGGGTGCAGCAGCCGGGGGAGGGGGGGATCACCGACGGGGCGACCCCTCTCCCTGCCCCGCTCTGGGGGGATGCAGTGCGGGAACGGGGTTTTTGAGCCAGTCCTGCCTTCTGCCGGGGGTGCTGGTGGGTCTGGGCGCCTGGGAGGGGTGGGCGGTGGATGGAGCTTACCCGCAAGGCCTGAAAGCCAGCGAAGGGCGGGGGGGTTGGCAGCCATTGCACATGGTGCTCAATGGCCCTGAATGGCCTGGTGCTGTGGTGCCAACACACGTGGCTTGGGACCGCCATTACTGGGGGACGGTGGCCATGCCGCCATACGTGGCCAGGCTGTTTCTCATTACCTGGGAGCACACGGTGCTGCTGCCTTCCCAGGGGCGCTGGGGCGGCTGCGAGGGGTGAACAGCCACGCCGGAGCTGCCCCCACGCTCCTGGCCTCCTGCTTCGGTTCCCTGTCCCCTCGGCACCCAGGGGAAAGGGTTACTGGTGAATAAACACCAGGGAGTGGGTATGGAGGATGGACGCGTTTGAGGAGTGCAGCCCCAGCTGGGCACAGGCTGGGACGGGTTTATAAACCTGAGTTTTGCTTGCACACGTGTAAGGCGTAAACTCGTGTAAATCTTTACCAGGTACCGGTGTCCCTCAAGAACACTTTGCCCTCACTATTTGCAGTGCCGGAGTGGAAACACACCGCGGTCTGTCTGTCCCAGCAAACCCCGCCAAGGTAGGTAAATATGTTCGTTCTCATTTTACAGATGGATAAGCAGAAACAGAGAGATACCAAGTGACTTGCCCTAAAAGGTTAAACACCAGGTCTGAAACATAACCCAGGACTCCCGATTGAAGAACTCGTGGGGCTGTTTCATTAAAGATATCCAGGAAATTAAAGCATTTTAAGCTGACAGGGCAGGTATTGTAATTCTAAACCTCCTCTGCAATGTGGTCTTCTAAATTCACAAAACTCATTCAGTTTCACAGTCCTGTCATGTAAATCACAGCCCGGCTTTGTTTTTAAGCTTCAATACAACAAACATTTTTGTCCCACTAACAGGAAAGGTTTTACTCTGCTGCAGTTAGAAACTGCCCCAGTCCAAGGCAGATGAGCAGGGGCATTCTGCAGCATCGCTCCGTGTGCAAGGACACGCACTGGATTTTTTCCTATCTCATATTTTCCCAGTTTTTATTGAAGTTTTCTCTTCCTTTTTTTCCTGTTTCATAGATTTTTTTTTTTTTTTTCCTGTTTCATAGATTTGCAGAAGTCCTATCCTCCTCTAAACCTAAAATGGGCTAAGGTTGCCATCCGGAGCTCCTTGCCGCTGTGCTTAGGCTCCTTCGTGCCTTGCCACGGCTGGTGTGACAACGCACTGCCTTCCAGCCTGGGGGTGACCCTGCTGCGTGGCATCAGGGATTGAGTTGGGGCTGCAGTGGTGACCACTCATCCGGTGTGGGGAGCGCAGCCATGGGCTGGGGTGGCCACTGTCACCTGTAACCGTGGTTGCCCCTTCAGAGGTGGCTGAAACTTGGGTGAGACCACCAGCATTCACTGTGCGGGTAATTAGGTGCAATGAACTCGTTTGTGTCCGTCCCTCTCGGCAGTGCTTGTGAGCAATAGCTAGTGGGAATATTTAATTTGGTTGATTCTTCGAATGATAAAAATTCGGTTTTGTGTCGTGTTCTATCCCTGCGGTTGGTGAAGTGGCTTTACAGTCTTGGGGTGTCTGTGCTTGCGCTGGGTTGGAAGTCTTCTTGAAGAACCAAAGTTCAGAATTTGACCTCAGTGGGACCCACCTGATCACCCATCTCTTATAACACCGCAGTGGTTGAATGTCTAGCAAATAGAGCTGATGAAATAATTTTTGATTAAATATATCTTTCATTATATGTGGTTATGGTTAAATGTTGTTTGCGTTTTGATTAATGTCATTGAAGTCAAAATGTTCTACAGCAGGATAGTGAGTTCAGTAATTTTTTCAATAAACACCTTTCTGAAGCCACTTCTGTCCACAAGAAAGGGAGTCGGGGGAAGTAAAA